CATTTGTATGCCGCCCATCTCCCCGCAATGGGTGACTCTGGGCGGGTTGGGAAAGCTGCATTAGAGTCTGGCAACCTTTACAACTAGGAGAAGTCATTCCGTACCCTGATCTCTATACCTGGACTGCCTGTTTGCTTAGCAGTGAAATTAAATGAATAGTGTTGCTTAGCAGTCTTGCTCAGTATAACTGTTAAGTGCAATTTTAGCTGTGTTTTGGTTTTCTCCCCAGGTCTATTATATTATGCTGGGCATGGCTATGAAAATTATGGGAATAGTTTTATGGTTCCTATTGATGCCCCAAATCCCTATCGAGCTGCAAACTGTCTATGTGTACAAAACATTCTCAAACTGATGCAAGAAAAGGATACTGGCCTTAATGTATTTTTACTGGATATGTGCAGAAAACGGTATGAAATTTCTTTCGTCACTTAAAGAATGCAACCCCCATAATTCAGGGCTCAAGATACATAGCTGTACAGATCCTACAGAAAGAGTCATGTTGTTAAATCAACTAGCTAAACACTGTTTCACAATCTTCCAGTCCTTGGAAAATTATTTTTTAAACTTGGTTTTCAGAACAAATGCAAAATAATAGGAAATAAAAAGAAGAACTTCCTGGGCAGTCATATTTGGCTGTTGTGTAAGAGACTTGATCATCCTTCAAAGTTAAATGGTAGATATAACATGGTTTTGATTACCAGCAAACTGAGCTTTTTAAGAACACCAAATCCTTCCTTCCAGCAGACAAAAGTTCAAAATCAATATGACAGAGCAGTTCCCCACCCCCCACCCCCACCATGGTGATATCTTGTCAAAGATCCCTCTACTTCTCTTCAGTCTACAGATTACTAGAAGACTAGCTGGAAAGACAACTGTGCTTCTTCTGTGTGGCATCACTCATCCACCAACCCTACTTTTCTTCACTAGGGAGATAGTCTCCAAAATTCTGAACAGGCCAACGTCTCCTCTTCTTTGTGGTCCATAGGACGTGTAGCCCATATTGATTATTGTTTGTTCACAAGTTCGACAAGTCCAAAACAAGCATTTTCAAAGAGTCTATAAGCCAGCTTTCAAGCCATTTGTCTCTGAACAATATATAGCAACTTTGCCACTTACTATAATGGGTTGGATTGACATTTAGTCATCTTTAGAATAGGCCAGTGAAAATAGTGGGACCTAAGTCAGTCATGATTAATTCAGCCCATTGATTTCTATAGGTGCATTCCAGTGCAGTGAGATTTACATTCAGATGTGTTTTTAAAGGGTTTTTTTAACTGTTAAGATTAAAAAAGCTGACAGAGGAGGAAAGAACACTTTATGAGAGATTCTCTAGTTGTCAAAAGTAGTCAGATATATCCCTTGTCAATAAGTATGTATTACCTGATGTAATGCTCTAGCAACATATATTAGCTTTGCCCTCTTCAGGATGATAATGATGATTTGCATTTATTTAGTCATCCTTATGTAGCATTCATAAAGCTGTTCACAACAATAAAAACAGAATACAAGAACTGAAGCCATACGAAAGTTAGGAGCTAAGAGTTGCATTTAAGCATCTTATGAAATGGAACCATGGAAGGTATCTGCCCTACTTCCAAAGGCAAGGAGCTCAACAGTGATGGCATCATAACAAAGATTTCTGACTCGTATATCCACCCCTGAGCATCACACGTAAACACTCTTGCTCATTCCCTTTCAGTGAGGAAGCAGGTAAATACTGGAAAGTACTAAAGACCAGTGCCATTTAGCCAGCCAGTCAAGCTAGGCACACCACAGTGGCATTCTGCTTGAACTAGTTGAAGCCTCTGAACTATGTCCTCAAGGATACTGTGGATACTGTAGTAATCTAGGCATGAGTTATTTCACCAGGCTGTCCAGCACACCAGTTCAATGAAAATAGATTGTGACCATATTTTAAACAGACAATAAATGGGGAAGATAGCTGGCTAGCTCGACCAACCACTGTCAGATATGTAGAGGAATGTTAAATGCATAATGGAAAAGGGCTTAGAAGGGCCTAGAAGTGAAGCAAGCGCAAAGTGAGGCTAAATCTTTTTGTTAAAGAAAGAAAGCTGGAATCATCAGATCGCATCTGAAAGACAGCCTCCTAGTATTTTCAGCGTGGTGTAACCAATCCAGAGGCACGTGCTTAATCATGTGATTTCCCAATATTGTAAATCTCTTCACTGGCTCAAAAAGATATTTGGATCCTTACTATATATCAACATGTCCAAAGCTAATAGGTAATATCAAATGGCTTAAAAGACTGGATCACAGATTCCACTCCTGTTCTGCATTTGTTTTGCCTTCACTCCGTCCTTTCATTAAATAGCAACATGATTGGTTTACCAAGCTGATGGAAGCATTTCACACTTCTCTTTAAGTATCCATTGGCAGATTCTTCCAAGGGAGTGAGAGAATAGGATTTGAAAATGAATAATAGTATGCAGTAGTCATAAAAACATTAATTGTTCTATTCTCGTTTCTGATTCAGGCTTTTTTGATCATTTTGTTTCTTATGTTTATTGAAGGAATGAATATGACAATACTGTTCTCATCTTGGATGCCCTGAAGGTTACAGCTAACATTGTTTTTGGATATGCCACGTAAGAGTAGCTATTGAAGTATTTATCTTTTTAAAATGTGGTAACCTATTCTAATTTCTAACTAATAATAATCCATTACTTTGTTATTTAAAGGGAGTATTACCTGAATAAAATTCTGCTTGGGGCTTTAGCAAACCTTTATAGTGCATGTTAGAGGTTAAAATCTGTTTTTATCTGAGATAAAATAAATTTATTCATTCATGATCATTATTTAAACTGTGACTGGGCACCAAGAGGGATTTTTCATTCCTCTTGACACCGAGTCATGGACATGACTTTCAGTCTTTTATGAGTCTCATCTCTTCCTTGCCACAGAAAAAAAGTAAAGAAATAACTGAGCTGTACCTCATTGATCTGAATATTAGTATCTTCTTAGTCACCCGATGAAAAACTTGCTTCTGAAGGGAGACTGAGAAGATACTGCGTTCAGTTTAGTTTGAGAAATCTCACCACCTGGATTGTTTTCTCCCTGTGCTGGAAAAAAAGCACATTAAGTCTCAGGCTGAGAAATCCCCTGAATTCTAAATGGCAGCTATTATTCTTCTTTGATGGAAGAAAAATTGAGGGAGATTTCTTAAGGCCACATAATGTGTCCATGATAGAGATGGGCTTGAATCCAGATGAGATCCTGTTTATTGAAACTATTGGTTCTCAGAACTTAGAAGACTCTTTTGTTAGGTTCAGACTTGGCTGCTAGTGTACTTTGCCACAATGGCCACTCATTTGTCTTATGAGTCAGTGTAGTATATGTGAACATTTCTTGCTTGTAGGAAGGGTTCAGTATTGGCCTAGAATTCCTCCATCTCAGGAAGAAATACAGTGGTACCTCGAGTTACGAACGCCTCTGCTTACGAATTTTTCGTGTTACGACCAGCTCCGGCCCCAAAAATTTACCTCGTGTTGCGAACCACCTCAAGTTACGAACCGGATCCGCAGCCATTTTCCCTCCCATGACACGTGGTCCGTGGCCATTTTTCCACCCCTGACACGTGGTCCGCAGCCATTTTTCTGCCCCTGACACGTGGTCTGTGGCCATTTTTCCGCCCCTGACACGTGGTCCG